ATTTCTTTTATCCTTGCCATGATGACAGTAAATAATATTTTACTCGATATTTAAAGGCTTAACTAGGTTAATTAGACTAACTAGGCAGGTTAGGGTAATTAGGCAAGTTATTGTTTAACAATGTTTTGTTCTGTAGACTATCAGAAAAATATATAGCTTAAAGGGGCTAACAAATGTAATCATTTTGCCTCCACATATCATTTACCTTCTCACGTGTTGTGGCTGTTGTAGGCTCTGCATAATATACGAGAGCACAAGTGCGGCTTCCTCTGCTTGTAAACTCCTAAACAAACACCTGTGATCGATTCATGAGTTTGGCCAGAATGATACCGATCGAGTGATAAAATGTGGTTATCGGCCGATATCGATCTTCGCATCCCCAATAAATACACAGAAAATACCCATAAATCACAAGCTATATGGCAACTGTTACTAAACCTCAGTACTGCACACCTTAGTTTCAAACAACAAGTATACACTAGTCCATATCTTATCTTATCCATCTAGTATTAATTCAGCCCCGGTCTTACAATGGACGATACAGAAAATAATTTTTTCCAACAGTTATCAGATTGTATAACCAAAGTCATACTAGATAAAGTCAGCTGAATTGTAATAGCATTAATATTGTGGATATATACTAATGTCTACTTGTTGCTTACAGTGGTGTAAAGTAACTAATTACAGATACTCAAATTAATACAGTAGTTTTTCTCAGGAATTGTAATTTACGGAGTAGATTTATGAACTTTCCCTTGAGTACATTTTTAGTGCTGTATCTGTACTTTTACTCCAATACTTTTCTTGAACCTGCAGTCACTACTTTGTTTTTTTCTTGTCTATGAGACGTTGGATTTTGGTTGCTATACCTGACGAATAAATCTCAGTATTTGACGTCAATATGATGTTGGGTTGACGTTGGATTTTGGTCACTTTCCATCACAAAATCAACCAAATATCACATCATTATTGGACATTAAAATAACATTATCCTTAGATGCTGGCTAGACGTTGAATTTTGGTCACCTGACGACACAACCTAAATCTAACCTAATATTAACGACTTATGAGGTTGTGTGCCTGCTGGGCAATAACTAAATGCACTACAGAATGTTACGTTTACACAGATCCACAAATGACATGTAAACGCATCTGCTTTTAACAGCGTAATACTACTTTTGTAGTACTTTTGAAAGGATGCTTTTTACTCTACCTGCACTGCATTTTTCGGCAAGTAATGGTTCTTTTACTTGAGTATGATTTTTCAGTACTCTTTCCAACACTGGTTGTTTGTAACTAGGGTTTGTAGTATGAATGTAATTTTATTAACCTCCAAAAGTCAAGTGCTATTTTGGGGTTTCCATCTGGATTTTGCAAACCTAAATTTAAAAGCTTCCCAAATCCACATGCAGTAGTGTTGATGCAAAAGTTTGGTAACATTCTAAAGAAAACCCTTTGAATTTTCATAAAACACTGTTGAAAGTGATTAAAATAATTGTATTTATTGTCTGTGTTATATAATAAACCCCTCCATAAAACTCAAATTTGAAAGTGTACCTTTTAGCTTGTGTGGGGTCTAGGTTGCTGTAATTAATTTGGGTGGTTCCTGCACATCTCAGTAATCAGAACAAAGAAATATCTCTCAATCATAATCTATGCAAATGTTATTCTATTCCAATTGATGAGAGAACGGAACAACTTATGGGGGTATTGGACCAGTCCGGACCTTTAAAATCTAAAGAATGCAGAGTTAAATGATGTCACGGACCTGGTACCAGGTGCGCAGAGTATAGGAGGTTAATATTATTGTCTTTTTATGTACGGTATGTAATTTATTTGATTTATTGTATAGTATGGAGAGCTCTGCTGAAACGTGAATTTCCCTTTGGGATTAATAAAGTCTAATCAAACAAACTAAACAGACTTTTATTTAATCTAATGCATCTTTAGGTGTTTTAATTTGCATATCATTTCCATCTCAACTTTGCATTGCATGCCATGCATCTATATTTAGTCTGTCATCAGAACTAAATGCCCTTGAACCAAAAATATTTCAAATTTATGACTGTGTTTTGATTTCGATTTAAGAAAGTTTGCAATGAATCAGTATTTGTTTGCTTTGTAAACATGCAAGGTTACATGATTAACAACTGTAGGTTAAATCGTTATTTTTAATATCTTTATCTTAAACATTTTCCAAATAAAGGGTCGAAATTGAAAAGCGTAACAATCAACCCTCTGTATGAAAATATATTTATATAGTTTACAAGAATTGTGCCGCTGATGTCATTCTGGCAGGTTGCCTTGTTCATTAGGTTACTGAAAGCAAAACTCGTACTGTAGTATTATATCGTAATCCTACACACAGACTTACAATAAACCCACTAATAGTTTCCTTTTTACTCTAACAAATTCCATCTCTTAAAGTACCTTTCACACAGTAAACAATTGAACAGGTCACTGTGTTTAGTGTTACTTCATATTTGAAAGTAAAAGAAAAAGACACAGAGGAAGCTCAAGGGATCATGACTGCGGAATTAAGCTTCGGGGGGTTTTCCCTTTTATTTATCAGAGTACTCTTTCACATACATGTAAACATTCAAAGATAAAGGCACACTGCTGAAAAGGAGTTATTTTTAGCAAGTGAAAATTTGTTATTTATAGTTACTTGTAACCAAATTTGTTCGTCTGGTTTGAAGAGCAAAGTTGAAGATACTTCACAAAATATGATGCTTGAGTTAATCAGCATTGATGGTGATCAACTCAAGGCGAATGGAAAATATGCATACGTCATCTGACATTGATCATTTCTCTAAATTCATTCATGAGAAAGCGCACTGAAATGAATGAGGTGTAATGTCATCTGTTGACCTTTACTATCAACATTGTGAGAAAGATCTTGTAGATTCTTCTTTTCTAAGTACTAACGTGTGTGGAAATTGTACTAGCAATGACTTACTTGTGTAGAAATTACATTTATAACAAGCATTTTTTTTAACCAGAGAGTTTGATCTGCTAAATGAATATGAAATACTGAAGGAAATAAAGTAACATTTACTAATGAGATTTTAGTGCTACTTTATGATCCACTGCAATTTAATTTTGTTTATTATGTTTTCATCTGAACAAATAAAATAAGTTTTTTTTTTTTTTTGTTATTAGACCTGTTAAAGGGGTGTTCAACAGTGTATTTTTAAGGCTTGGTTATGTTTATAAGATTTTATTTTTTCATATACCTTAATTATATACAGCTACTCAGCCAACATAAAAACAACTGTCATATTTCTAAATGTAGATAAATGAAGAGCACACAGCTGAACCTCATGCCTACTCTCTAATATAAAATCTGACAAGCGTCTTTCACATTTATTCGGAATAAGCATGTGTACGTAATATGAAATGTTCTCATATCTTTTGCGAGTTTGTTATTTTAGATGTAGAACGCAGGGAAAGCAACAACATAAAGAGACACTGAAAGTGATTGTGAGTGTTAAAAGCAGTTTGACAGATGAACTGCTAAACTGTTAGCGGTACCAAACAGCATTTGCCGTTGTTTACATCCTTGTTTACCTTCTCACTACAACATACCGCTAATGCTAGAAACATTGTATGTAATTGATCTATTTTAATAAACAAAAATACTTTCAGGTTGTGGCTCACAATCCACAGCTTTGTCGGTTGGAGGAGTTTTAGCCGAATCCTGGGAGAGATTCTGGAAGTTTTCCTTTGTCAATTGCTAGCTATATATTTTTTTAGGAATTCTCTCGAACATAATTAAATTCAACTGTAAGCACTTCTCTCTATGTGTAGTGTCCTTTGGAACCCCAAATACAGAAACAGAACAAGCTCTGTGGAAAAGCAGTGTTTGGACGGCATTTTAGCTTTCTCTGCTATAACATCACAGCATTACACCGCCTTAGGCCACACCAATGTCTCCCTTTGCATTGAACTTAGAGCGTGTTACATTCAGAGATGTTGTTTATGTTCACTTAGCCACATTACACATCAACTAAAGTTTGAAATATATCGTAGTGGACCACCCCTTTAAAGGAACCTTTTTTTGCAGCTTAGGTCAATATCATGATTTATCGTGATAAATGTTTCAACAAAAAATAGCAACAAAAAAGTTTAATAAAGTAATAACCCTAGTTCCAGTTCACTTTTATTTTAGCCTCCACAAATATGATAACCATTAATAATCAATAATAACTGCTGCTGTTGACTTAACCAGTGTGTGTTTACATTGCTGATGAGTTTTTGTCTTGTTTATGAAAATCTCTTTTTTATGCAAACCTCTTTCCACACTCTTATCACAGGTGGAGGTGTGAAAAAAAACACAGCTGAAATAGGAACATTTCTTGACACTTTAAAAGGGCGTCGGAAAGTGAGGACGGACCAAAATGTATGTGTTCCTCATTTTGAATGTTCAAAACTCAAACAAAAACACACACACTTGCCATCCTTGTGGGGACTTCCTATAAACAAAATGATGGTTATACTTTACAGACTGTGTGTTCTCTCCCCCAATACCACACCTAAAACCAATCCTCACAGAAAACATTGAGCATTTTTCCCTTTTCAAAATATTTCATTTGGTGTGATTTATGAGCATGCTTAATGTGAAGTATTTTGTTTATTTAATGTCAAGTTAGCAACCGTTATTTTCATGACAAGAACATTTCAATCATAAATATATAATTAAAAATCAACAAACAAATAAATACGTAAATTAAATACGGTTTTTAGCGATAAAACATGATTAAAATTCTAACATTTTTCCTGGTGTCACTTAGCTTAAAATGTCCTTTAGAGAGTTCATTTCCTTAAAAAAAGTCTTCTGGAAAGCATGACAGTCCAGTTAAATGTGTTTTACCAGCATGTTTATCCAAATGAATCTCAACTTAAGTTTGCAAGATAACAATTCCTCATTCAAGTTTTAGTCCCCACTGCAATATAAAAAGAAGACCCCCCACACACACACATACACAGATTTACTGTACCTTCACTCTGCTGGCTGCCTGCGCTCCCGCTGTGAAAACTGTGGCAGGGATCTGAATATCCCGGAGGAAAGCCTGGCGGAGGGGTGGGGTAACCCGGGTATGGGTAAGGCTGCCCACCAAGGGGCCATGGGTTTGTTCCTGGAGGAGGAAGAGGAGCGAGACCATCCTGGTCAGAGCCACCACCACTGGATCCCTCATTCAGATTGAGAGAAGCCATGTCTGAAAACAAAAGCGTTTCAATTGCATTATATATGTATATATATGAGATAAAACAATATAAAGGTAATTGCAACATCATCTTAAAATGTGTATTCTATTTTTCTTGTAAAACAGTATGGTTGAAGACAATTCAAAAATTGTGATGTATAAACTTGTAATTTGGAGACCAACGTAAAAATGATGAAATGTAACAAGAACTATTTTTTAAAGATTTTTATGGAGATCTTTCTATTTTATTAGATTTTATTTAAGTCGGTTTCTGCAGGTTTCTTCAAATCTAAGACTTTTTAAAGACCATTATGAAAGAAATTTAGACTTAAACATGGCTAAACATTAAGGATTTTTGGCCATAAATAGTTTTTGTATTAATGGAAGGTTATGTAAAGCGGTGTGTTGCGTAATTGTCTTTCCCCGATTAAGCCATTTAATTTGCAGAATTTCCTTTAAACATGTCTTAACAGCTGTTTTGATTTGCATTTCTTCGCAATAAAAAACTTAAATATACAAAAAACATGTGTTGTGTGTCAGCACGATTGTGTTGCTTTACGTGGATGTAAATTAAGTAAATTATGTAAATTTAAAATGATTTAAGACCTACAACACAATATTTCAGTGAATTGTAGACTTTTTAAGGCCTAAATTTAGATTTAAAAATGTAAGACTTTTTTTTAGACTTTTTAAGACTCCGCGGACACCCTATATGTTTTTCCAACTCTGACTTCTTGAATTTCAGTAAATATAACCTAATATTGTGACTTACAATTCTGAAGTAAAGAGAGCAAGAATCGTGAAATTTAATTATTTGCAAACGCAAATTATTTATGTATTATTTATTTAAAGAAAATAATTAAGTTTGGAGTCAGTAGTTTGTTTATTGTTAACTTAAAATGTTCTTATTCACATAAACATTTCCCTTCATCAAATAATCTAAAATAAAACATGCAGCTTCCTATGTTTATGTTCAGTTATTTCACTTTAAGGGCAATGAAAATAATCTATCCTTTGCCATCAAATTAAATTAATGAATCTACACAATTAAATGAAAATTAATCTTTAAATTTTAATTGTAGATGAAATTTTAGGTGTTTGAATTCATTTGGCCTAATTTTATTCTTTATTTTTCGTTAAAATTAAAACAATTTAAAACTTAAAATTGAAAGCTACAAACTCGCAATTCTGAGGGGAAAAAGTGAGAATTGAGAAACAAAAATGTTAAGTTTCAGTTCATTTAAATTGAAATAAGATTTGAAATTATAAGCGTTTTTATTTCTGACCAAATAAAAATAGCTTTGGTGAGCATGTAAGACCTAATAAAACTGACTCCAATGTTCTGAATGGTTGTGTTATGTCCAACTCAAGTGTGTGCTGACTTTACTTTGACACAGATCTCCAAAAGTGTAGTAGCACTGCTCCGAGAAGGTGATTTTATTGACTGTGTGCCTCAGGTAACCGTGCTTCAATAAACTGCTGGCGTATTTTCTAGCATCCCTGCGATCCTTAAATCCTTCCACCCGAGAAAACAACCAGTCAACAACATCCGCTCCTGAAACACAAAGCATGTGCAGTGAGAAATATAACACAATTACCCAGTTTTAAATATATATACTGTTTAGCCAAAACTAAAAATTCTGCCATCATTGACTCACCCTATAAACCTGATTAAACACAAAAGAAGAAAGCTGGAAAACTGTAACCACTCACTTCTAAAGTATTTGTTCTTTCTACAATGGAAGTCAATGGCTACAGTTATAAACAATCTTTTTGGTGTTCATCAGGTTTAAAAAACTCTTTAAGGTTTGAAAACACTTGAAGACGAGTGGATAGTAAGTACATTTGCATTTTTGGGTCAACTATCCCTATAAGGCAAACTTTTTGGAATTTTTGGCTGTTCATTATAAGATTATTTAAGTCTAACTTACAGTATATACAAAAAAAGCCAAAATACACATTTAAGAGTTTCCCTTTATATAGTTTGCCAGTTTGGGGCTATAATATACCTTTATTACAATACTTTATTCCGAAAAATACCGTTTCTTCTGTCATAAAACTTCATAAAACAAATTATGGACATAATTTGACTGAATATAAACAATAATATTACAATATTAGTAATATTTAATTCTACAAAAAAAGGTGATTGCATTCATCCATTCATTTATCAAGGTTGTTTGTATGTATTTATTTATTTGTTTGTTTGGGCAGTTTTCTGAGTTATGGCGTGATAAAAAATACAAAAGTCCACTTTGTAAAAATTACATGTATTTGGAAACTGACTTTTAGATCAGAAATCTGATCTTTTAAATCTTAGGTTTAGATTTTTTTGTGCAAGAAATGTGTTTCCAATCTAATGCATTTTAAAATTATAAATAATAATAAAAGTAATGCCTCCTTTTCATAATTAAATAAATCATATTAGAAACCATGTCATTCAATTCTTAATGTAATCAATAAACTAGGGAAGTATGATTATAACTATATACTGTATATTGTTTCCCCACTGCCCTGCAGTGTTTTTCCTTAAACACAACATCAAGGATCAACTTGATGCTTATGACAACCACCAACACTAAAGTCACCACAATCCCATCCCCTCCAAACAACAGTAAAAAAACTAAACAAAAAGCACGAACCAATAACAGCATTGGCTATAGTGATCTTCAACCACATTCGGTCTCTGATCTCCAAGCCTGAATCTGGAAGCTGCATGACCTTCACTATAGTTGCCATGTCTGTTTTAGACACCGAAAGCGGAAGGTCATCAAACTCTGTAAAGTAAAGGAGAAACAATACAATAAATCTTCCATTCTACCAACAGAAGACCTCTTATGGGATGTTACCAATAGGATCATACCATAATGTGGGTATGGCCCAGAAAGTGCTGTAGTGTGTGTGATCCAGGCTGCAGGATCAATAGGTCTCACTGGCTCGGCTGAAACACAAATGTAGACAATCAGAAATCAGACATGAACTATGATTGCAGCCTGTTTTTTTATGTCTAGAATTCAGTACCTCTAGGGATTGTGAAGTAGCTTCTCGGAGAGGGGTCCCAACATTTGGCCACTGTAAGGCTTATTGGCCTGCAAAGTGGAATTTATACATGAAGTAATGCATTTTGACATTTTGATTTACTTATTATTATGCTATTGAGATATAGCAATATTTCTTACCCAGGTTTGGAGACGATCTCTCGCAGAATCCTGACAGCATCATCATTACTCATGTTTTCGAAGTTCACTTCATTCACCTAAAAAAAACATGCTTCCATTAAATGTGCATCTTTATGTATCCAATCTACTACAGTGTATAACCTAAATCAAATCTATTATTCTCAAAGACTTTATAAATTGATTAATGAGTCTTTAAAAGCGACTGTTGTCAATGGGAATCATGAGGAAGTGTTAGAGTGAAAGTAAAGGCTGCATAAGCAACTTTCATTTGTGGTGAGCAGGTGAAAATGCAGAATCACTCCCTGAAATTAGATAGTACTTTATGAAAAAACAGAAATACCCTGGTACACAAGATAGCACTCCAAAAAACACTTCTGACACTCGCTTGTTGCACAGAAGTTGTCACAGTCAGGGTTTTCCCTTCTGTTTAACCTTTAAATTTAAGTTCACGAGTTCACATTAAGTAATCTTTTAGATAAATATCTGCAAGAAGGCCTCTAGGAGAAGCCTATTAATTATCTGACATGTTCCACCCATCTCATTTCAGCAGCTCAAAGCATTAAAACAAAAGCAGCAATCTCATTGGTCGTCCAGTTTTTAATGCAAAAAATTAGAAAAGGGTATAAATAGAGGTCAAAGCCAGCTCCAAATGGGCTGGTCGGCTCTAAGTATGTGGAACTTAAGCTCCGAGTGAGCTGTACAAACCTCCTGGAGTTTTCATTTCATTAATGTCTTTTATGTGACATACAGTCCAACCTATTGTGTTTAATGAATGTTGACACCTAACCCAACCCTAAATCCAACCTCACAGTAACCTATTGTAATTTATGAATGTCTATACCTACCCCAACCCTAAACCCAACCTCACAGTAACCTGTTGTGTTTCATAATTGTCTAATCCCCCAACACTAAACCCAGCCTACTTGCGGTGTAATCCCTCCCACTTGAAGGTCTCCAGGCTGCAGTGATACCTACTTGAAAAAAATTGAGCCAGAGGCATTTTTTTTAATGCCTTGCATTTTGTGTGTCAATGTGAACACTCACATTGGCACCCTTTGTTTAATCACAAGTTGCTAAATATTGGTCATAATAGTCAGTGATAATCATGCCAGCATGTAAGAGCCTTACACACTAAGGGCACTATCATACACCTGGCATAAAAAGACGCAAGACATGTTTGGCGTGATTTTTGCTATTTTCAGACCAGCGCAACAATAATTTTCATATTTTGCACCACATTGTTTAAATAGCCAATCCATTTGCGCTACTTTGTGGAGTCATGGGTGTGCTGGTCTAGAAAGTAGGCATGTATTTATATTTGTTTTAATAAAAACAAGTTTAGATTTGTCCACCTGTCTGGTTTTGAACAATATGGGGCATACGAATAGGACGTGTGTTTAGTGTGTTTAGATATAACTCAGCTTTTTGACCACACTTTGTTATTATTGTTCATTTATTCATTTGCTGAAAATTCTAACTAAATTTAGATTATCTAAATTCGTGGTTAACAAACGTAATTAAGTATGTAGGCTTATGGATGTCTTCAGCGGAGTGCGAACAACTTTTCCACTTACAAAGTTTGCCATGTAAATAGTAAATGCGCTATGGCACATCGCAACTGACTTTTAAAGGGAATGGGAGATGATTCTCTGATTGGTTTAATGCACGTTATTCTCAAAACCAGAACTCATAAAGAGAATAAGTACAACCCAGTTAGACCATGCGCTGTGACGCAAAACTTATTTTTCCATCCTTTAAATAGCAAATGTGGATTCGGACATGCCCTAATGCTTTTGCACCCTGCGCTTTAGACTTTGCGCCTAGATCGTTAACATAGAGCCCTAAAAATAAAGGCTAAATGGTTCTGTGAAGAACCTTTAACATGTACTGTATGAAACCTTTCCACTCAACAAGGAGTTCTATAGTGAAGAAGTTCAATTCAATTAAATAATTTTTTTGGTTTTGTTTTTTTCAAATAAAAACAACTCAAAAATGACATAAAAGTGTGTAAAAGTATATAAAAAAAGGGACCAATTAATTATAATGTTTGGTTTGTAAATGATTCATCATGAAAAAACAATTAAATAATTAAAGCAAAACGATGTATTACATAGAAATAATGCTCTAGTTGAATGTATGTAGCTTATTCTGCCTATTCACTGTAACGGCATGACAAAGGGTGACCAGGACATTTTTATTATAAAAAATTATTGACTCAAAGGGTGACTAAAAATGACTTAACTTTCATTTTTAGTCAAGATTACCTTCTTACCAAGAAATAAAAACAGGTGGCAAAGCTGTATGGTGCTTGTTTACATATGACACCAGCAAAATCCACCTAACAACACAGGCTCATTTAAGCATTACTTTTTTGTAAAGAAGCTGAGGTCAGAAAGCTAAGGAAAAACCCTTTGCTATGTAAATAGATGACAAACAGAGTTGAAAGCACCCCTGTGGTCAGAGACACCAGACATGACTGTCAGACCCTGTCAGGAAGGAAAGGAAGTGAAGCACAATAATAACAAATAAGAACAGCAACACAACACAGTGAATAAGTCATCACAATCCCACAAGTGCATTTAGAAACTGGGAAGAACTGAGATTTACAAAAGCAGGCCAGTTTCAGTTCTGTTTTGTGCTTAGTGTTAAATATAATATCCACAAGATGATAAAAGACATGAGTGTGCGCACATCTAAGAAAAACAGATGCTTAATCAAGCCAGGTGAAATAGAAAAAGTAAAAAGAATCAGCACACTGCCACATTAGCTCTCAAAAGACTTTTTAATTGGCAAATTAGACAGTTCAATTGTATTTTGAGAGCTAAAGTTGTAGTGAGCCGATTCTGTTTACTTTTTCTATGATCTCATCCAATATGGAGAGTGTCCATATTTTCAGAATAATATCTGCTTCTGTTTTAAAGATTTTGGACGACATTAAAGTTCTGCCAATGGACAGTGATTTGAGAAAATGTATCCAACTTAAATACTTTGGTTACTCTTTAGTTAGTATTACATAATAGTTAGTTAGTATTACAGTTTAATTAGTATTACAATGTATTCAACATAATTACTTTGTAGAAAAAAATAATTATTTAACTTAAATGCTATGGTAAATAAAAATATTTAGCAATTCAGTATTATTACATTGATAATTTACTGATTTCCTTATTTTTGTACTTAAAAATATAAAGGTATAATAATATTAATAATAATAATAATAAGAAGAAGAAGAATAATAAGAAGAAGAAGAAAAAGAAGAAGAAGAAGAACAATACATATTTTACTATCAGTCTATTATTATTATTGTTCTCATTATTATCATTGTTATTATTAGTAGTATAGTAGTAGTAGTATCATTATAGTAGTAACTTATCATCATGTAAGTTACTTTACAATTTTTAATTTTACATAATGTTATTATTATTACATACTATTATTGTTGTTGCTATAATATAATATAATATAATATAATATAATATAATATAATATAATATAATATAATATAATATAATATAATATAATATAATATAATATAATATAATATAATATAATATAATTGAAATGACCATTAAATGACCTTCTAGATGCTGGCAAATATTTCAAAGGCTTTTCTTTTCATTGTTTTTCATCATCCCGAAAGTGCATTAGATCAGTCTCCAGCTGAAAGAGGATGATGACTTCACCTGTAACAGCATGTCTCCAGGCTCTATCCTCCCGTCCGCCGCCACCGCTCCGCCTTTCATGATGGAGCCAATATAAATACCTCCATCTCCTCTGTCATTACTCTGACCGACTATACTGATCCCCAGGAAGTTGTACTTCTCTGTGACAAAGACAGATAAGACTGCTTTCAATGATGTGAAGGCTTGGTTTGTTTTTTAAGCAGGTGGAGTACATTTACATTTAGTCATTTAGCAGACGCTTTCATCCAAAGCAACTTATAATTGAGGAGGAATTCAGCGATTTAACAAGAATACACACAAGAAGTGCTAGTTATACACAGGAACTGTTAGTGCTCAGAGATTTAAGTGCTATAGTTAATAGGTGTAGCGTTTGTTTTGTTTTTATAGAGAGAAGAGTGTATCTACAGATGGTTTGTCAAGGCCACTCACCTGTGTGAAGCACACTTCATAAATGCACAATGTTTTTTTTGAGATATGGAGTAATTGTAACTGCGTTCACACAGAAGGCAGCGAGAGCGTTAAAGTAGATGGAAGTCATTCATTTTCAATGGGAGCCGGCCACAATAAGCAGTGAGGAGCAGCATGGCATGTCTTCGCTAGTGTGGGTGGCGAGGAGAGTTGAAATCAAGTCAACTTTATGATAATGAACTATGATGTGGTTCAGTGGAAAGTAATGAGAATGTTGAAGTCCACCACTTGAGATGATTCCAGAGAACACAGTCAAGTGAACTTTGGTTCTGACCACAGCTGTTCCCAAGGGTTTTAATATAGTGGTCGCCAGATTTCCTTTCATTTACGATGTTTTCTTACAGGGCCATAAATAAAAAAGTTACAGGCGAGTTACTGATGTGCATCAATGCTATATATGTTTTTTTTAAACAGCGGGAATCTCATGCTAACTATAATGACAGTACAAAACAGTATTGCTGCTTCAGAATAGTCAGACATATGGATATATATGATGAGTGGAGCAAAGCCACACCACAACAACTTGATCTTCCATAGTGTAATAAATTTGATAAAAGGCGCAACATTTTCACACTAGAAAGCATGTTTTAATGGGGTAATGTACAGTGCATCTGGAAAGTATTCATAGTGCTTCACTTTTTCCACATTTTTTTGTGTTACAGCCTTATTGAAAAATGGATTAAATTAATTTATTTATTTATTCAAAATTCGACACACAATACCCAATGACAATGTGAGAAAAAAGATTTTTTGAACCTGAAAAAATATCACATGTACGCAAGTATTCACAGTATTTGCCATGAAGCTCTAAATTGAGCTCAGGTACATTTTGTTTCCACTGATCATTATTGAGATGTTTCAGCAGCTTAATTGGAGTTCACTGGTGGTAAATTCACTTGATTGTAAATGATTTGAAATGTCTAAATAAGGTTAAAGGGTTGATAGTGCATGTCAAAGCACAAACCAAGCATGAAGACAAAGGAATTGTCAGTAGACCTCCGAGACAGGATTGTCTCGAGGCACAAGGCTGGGGAAG